AAATTCAGAAATTGGACGTTGGACGCCTCCGTCTGGAAAGTGTCCCTAACGCGATACCTCCACCTCCTCTTGCCTTTCTCTCTAAAGGGTCAATGGTGGCCATACACAGTGCTGAATGGTTTCCTTACAAGGGGGTCTTCCAGTACATGGAGCCTTTATTCAAAATGGTTTTCTGACTGTTACAGAGGCTCATGTGAGGAATACAGAACCATGGTCCGTTCTTTCTGAATGCCACCAGGAATGTCGAAACAAATGGTCCAAAGTTCGATCCTCGTGGTGGCAAATTTTTGCAGTTTATGTTGGCGCCTCCAAATTGCAGCAAAACACGACAAGGGAGGTCTTTCAGGGTAAGCCAGGCTTTTCAACACGGTTTCTTGCATATTGCAGGGATGCGTGTAGGCAGCAAAACCATGTTTCATTTTCGCTGAACGGTTTTAGCAGTACCAAAAAAGAAGCATAAGGCACTGTTAATGGTTCGATTCCCCGTGGCGACTAAATTTTGAATTTGGGTTGGCGCCTTCGCCTTCGAATTGGTGTCAAATTGTGCCAAATGTCACAATCAAGTGTCACACTCATCGTCGGAATCATTATAAAGCCACCAAGTGGACGCCAACCTCAATTGCAAAATTCATTCGCCACGGGGACCGAACCATCGAGGGCACCAGTTTTTTGATACTACTAAAACCGTTCAGCGAAAACGAAACACGGTTTTGTGGTCTTCCGGCACAACAACATCACAGAAGGCATCCACACCTTTCACATCTCCTCCACTAAAACCGCGACAGTGAAACGGCCACCTTCGCAAGTCACGGGAAAAGCGTTACTATCACAAAGGCAGTCTGTATTGACGCTTTTTTTATCTGAAAAATGCCAGCCCCAATATGTAATCCACTTTGCCCTATGTCTTTCCGAGTTTTCTAAGTAATCCAGTACGCTTTGGGAATCTTTGCTTTTTTTCTGAGAGTGTATATCAATCGTTCCTTCTCAGGTCAGATCACCTCAAATCAAGATACTTCTGATCTGCTCGTTACAAACCTAAGCCTAAACGTGAGTGTAGCCCTGGACTTAGGCATTACCTCCAGCCTAACCTAAGCTTGACCTCAGGCTTCAATGAGCGCACAGCTCATTAAAGCGTGACCTTCTAATTGAAGAACGTTCCGTTGTAAAATTGAGCCTCGTTGAGCTTGACAATGACGGCAGTGAGGCCATATTCTGAAGACAGTGTGGCCAGTCAAGAAGGGCCTGATTGTGCTATAGGGGGGGGGGACACCTAAGGAATATTTCGAAGTAAAAAATTCATCAACAACGGCATCCTGTTCGACGAAAAATTTGATGATGTGCGCTATGTGAAGTGACTTTTTTTGCCTCCCTCCCCCTCTACATTGTACATTGTGAATTGACTGCATTGCAAGTTCGCAAGCGTGAGCTCCAGTAGACAAAGTAGCCGGATTGGCAATTAAAGGTAGCGGTTACGATAAATTCAAGAAGGGTTTAGTGTGACGTGGTGGTGTTCAATAGTACCCCGGCAGCGAAAAAAAGCAGAAAAATCCGTCTAGAAAACACAAAACGGGACCTTTTCCATTGGTTTCAACTCGTGAACAGGTAACAGCTAAGAAAGAGGACGTATGTACGAGTTCACCGCAACGAATTTGATGGAACCATGCCAGAGTACGCTTTAATCGAAATACTCCATTTGCGCCGCTTCTGGTCACGCACTCGCTCAAATGAAAAAGTCAACTTGTGGGCGTGACGCTGCTGGGGGCGGAGTGCTGCGGAGGTCCTGCTCAGCAACCACAGCACCTTTCGCCGTGGAAGCGCCACACATTGCTTCCTTGGCTGTCAAGTAATTGCTCCGTGTGGCGCAGGTTCTCCCCGAAGCAAAAATTCCTTATCGTGATCGCTTACTTTAACTCCAACTCTATATCATTGATTTACGATGTACCTAGCGACGACCCTGGTTGACATTCGTTCTTGGGCTGTCGACACGCATAGTCTTTTTTTCTTCTTTTTAAAACTATAACTATTCATTGTAAGGTTCTAGTCAAATAATAATGGAGTGTTGGTAAAATTTTTCATCAAAATAACGTTTCATGCATCATTATTTCTAACCAGGTTCCTTCAAATGTTAACTAGTTGTGTCTTTTAGTCTTGTTGATTCCTCGAGTCCTTGGGAAACAATGCGCTCGTAAGCTTAATTCAATCATTACCTTTCTAACAGAAGAAAGTGCAATGGAGAACCGTTTCGGTAAACGCTTTTCACTGTTACTGTATTTCCAATGTTGACACAAAATCGAACTTTACTTCAATTAAGAAATCCCCTCACTTTACCCCCTCACAGCCTCTTCCGAATACCTCTTGATGGTTCTCAGAATCATTTCCTCGCTTAGAGAACAAATGGAGCGTACCCTGTTGATCGGGGATGCGCCGTGCGCTCGAGATCCAGTGACATCCTCGAGTCGCGACCCTCATCCACTCGCGAACACAATATCGATACTTGGCTGGTTGCTGGTCCTCACACTCGTTGTCTCAGAACCGAATGCGACCCTTCTTGTCGAGATTTTCGAACACAAGCTTCGCCCTGCTTTGAGCGTGATAAAGAGGTCAAGGAACCAGAAATTTGGTTCGCTATGGTGCAGTTGCTAGTTGTTCAGACGGATAGACATAAGGTCATTGGTTCCTTGCTGTTGATATTCTTCATTTTTTTTCATTGAATTAGCTAGCTCAAATAGTTTCTAGTACATTAGTTCACCAATGATTACCCATGGTTGCATCTCTGAAGATTTGTTGAGCAGATCATCGTAATTTTAGGTGGTACTTGCGCATTTGCATTTAGCGCAGGCGCCAGACTTCTCCGCGGCAAGCAAGAGCGATATTCGAGCAAAATTTCCGTAGGGGCGAACTGCTCTCCAAAACTGAGATTCGACCTAGTCTAAAAAATGTAGCAGTTATAGGGTAGTTCCCCAGACAGCAAACACATACTCAGAGGAGCGATGGGAGGGGTAGGGGTGTACTTGAGAGTAGCGCCTTGTAAATCCTAGGATGATGCAAGCAGCCAGGCTAAACTCTGGTTTTTCCTTTTTCAAAATCCTCGGAAGCCTGGTTTCATCTCAGCAGCAGCCTTCGATTTTGGACTGGTGGATAGAGACCACCTCGATTTTTCGGGTTAGGTCAAGTATCAGAATTATTCTGACATTCGTTCCCAAGGGGCATTCCGGTGTCCTGATTCTTAATGTTGTACTCATCTGGAAGAACGCCTAGCGAAAATGGCAAGAGACAGACTTGCCATTTTCCGGAACCGGAACCTCGCAACTCAATGAGTCCAGCGCCATTTGCTATTTGCTTATTTCTGCCCTTAATAATTTTTGGGTTGTCTCACAATTCCTGTCTCACTTTTGACGCTTTTCTTTCCAAGTTTTACCTCTTCTAGGAAACAACCAATCAACAGCATAACCACCATCATGGTCATTGATATGCGTGCATCTGCTAGTGAGCGTTTGGAAGCTTTTTGTCCAGAAACGGTGAAGCTGGAAGTTGAAGAATTTGGGGAGGTCGTTTTGGGGTGGTCATAATCTTTGAGTTATTATTTCGACAGGTGATGAATGAGGGCGTAGGAAAGGCGATAGTCCGATAGAGCGATGCTAGTGCTATATAGCGTATGAGGTATCGTAGCCCTGGCTATCTCCCACAAAACGTGGCGAGTTCGCATTGCAGTGCGAGGTCGGCGGTCCATTTGGAGAAAGGAGTTTATGATTCCTTTCTAACGGTTCCCTCGCAATATCGAAGCCAGCCCAAAGGGTTCTTCCACGCTGACTTTTGCAATGCCTGTCTTCATACAGTGAAGTGGTTCCCAAAGCAGGCCACCCAGCGAACACAACAAATCGAGAGTGAAATCCGCTGAATACGATGTTCGAGATTTGGATGAGCTGGCGCTTCCTGAATACGAGGAGACCGCCAGGCCTGCCGCTTGTTTTTGTCGCAGTCGCCTCATGATATCTCCACTGGTTAATGACTCGCAAAGGCTTCGCTGATGCGGTCGCAGAAGTTTCCCCAAATGGTCAGGCATGCTTCGCACTCATACTCGGCCGGACCATAAGGTTTCCATCAAAACTTCATTCTGCAGCAGTCCTTTTCATACTGATGGCGTGCGCTGGTGCATCGGCTGCGGCCAGGTATCTGCTACAATGCCCTGTTAGCAACGGCCGGATGCACTCCCAATTTGTGGTGCAAGTGCCTTCATCAAATCGTGACCGCAGGCCTATTAGGAGGTTGACTTTCAAAGCTCGTTTCGCCTTTGCCGTCACGATTGGACCACTAGCCAAGTGGCAGAGGCTGGGACAAACGCAGCGTCAATCTTCCCTGCTGTCCTCCTTACAATAGGGTTCATTTGAGGGTCGTGAAGCATAATCATTAATTATTGCCACTGAACTATCCTCGTTGACAACCCGTCACGGCCTTGCTCTTCTGAAACCACGCTGTTAAGGCTCTGAAAGCATGCTTCAACATATTGACGTTTTTCGCGATGAAATGGTCTCACACAGAAGAAATTTGGATTAGAATGGAAATGCGACATGAATTATGAGACAACCTAATTTATATGCATATAAAATTGTAATTTATATTTGTCAGAAAACGATCATAAAAGGTAGACGTTACGATTTCGATCGTGGCCGCTTATCAATCATGAATTGCTCATTCTTCGATCTCCACTATTGATTAAGTTCGTCTTGAAGAAAATCGGCACTTCTTGCGAAAATGCGGAAAATATCCAACACCTACTTTATTGTGATTTTTTATCTAATTGTGATAGTTGATTGATCGCAATCCTTTTATTGCATATTGCATTGATTCGTGTGAATAAGCGCCAGTTGATCTATGTACAAATTCGTATTGTGAAAACCGGACATTCCATGAAAATGTTCGCTTAAGTGGCTGGTAAATAGATGCTAAATAGAATACTTGCATATGAATTTGCAAAGTTAGACGCACACTTTTGTAGAAATATGGCTGCAGATGCGATCAAGGATGGAGCGCGACAGTTTGCTGCGGGAGGCTCAGCAGGTCAGAAATGCTATATCCTCTTTATTTGCATTTGAAGACCCTAACAATGTGCCAAACCTCACTTAAACGTGTGATAAATCATGCACAGCATTGTTTTATTGGTCGGTCCCTCTGCATTGTTTCTAGGAGAGCGGCGGCCAATAAGACAGATGCAGCGATATATCTGACCACGCCCACGATTGGCGCGAAATGGTCAAGTATTCGCCCCATTTCTGTTTCCCGTCTGCATTATTTTTTGATAGAAAATCACATTTGCTTTAATTCTCAAGTGCTAAAGCTAACTAACAGGCACTTGCGGAATGTGCCGTCAAAATACGGCGTTCACGCACAGCGCGAAGGTAGAGTGATCTCCATGCGTTCACTGTGTTCACTCATTGAGTGTTCCTCCTCCGAATCATTTTTGGAGGAAATCCACTAATAAGGAGATCACAGTAAGTGACTCCGCCCATACACGGAGCATGAAAAGCAATTTTAGACGAGGGTGCACTGTGTGTGCAAGCTACCACATACATCTTTTTGCAGGTTTGGTCGAAGTATGCCTGATGCATCCATTAGATTTGATCAAAACGCGACTACAAGTCGCGCAACATGACAGAGGGATGATGGATTGCGTGCGGAAAACCTTCAAAAATGAGGGCTTTCTGGGCTTCTACAAGGTATATATCGGTCAAGCCGTTTTTTTTGTTTTAATTTTCAGTAGTCTGTATTGAGCTTCTGCTGGTTAGGCTCCGGAATATAGGAAGTGCAGGGGTGAAAACTGAGGAAAATGGGTAATTATCCAATTTACTTGTAAACTAGCTTTTTCAGGGGATCCTGCCACCAATCCTTGCTGAGACACCGAAGCGAGCAACGAAGTTCTTCACCTTCGAGCAATACAAGAAGATGTTCAGTCATCCGCATGTTTCTCCAGCAATCGTAATTATTCGCTTATTTTTAGCTGTTTTACAAGTTTGTACCTAACAGGTCGCAGCGCAGAGGGCATAACTGCTCTATTAAAGTGCGATTCAGAGAAACCTCTGTGGATCTTCGTTGTTTTTCTTTGGTGATGTCATAACTTTAACATTTGTGCTTAGTTGGACACGCATATGCTCGCTTTCAGTCATTGTCAATGGCGGGATTGTTCTGTGGTTTTACAGAGGCGGTCGTCATCTGTCCGTTTGAAGTTGTCAAAGTAAGACTGCAAGCTGAACGAGGAGTGTCGTTGATGGAGGTAGCCGGATTCCATGACTGGTTTTCCTCTGAGAGAAAATTATCGCTCATTTTCAGCAAAAGTCCACTGCAGCAATGGCCCGGGATATCATAAAGACAGACGGCATGGGATTCAATGGGCTTTACAGAGGTACGTATCTCGGCAGTTTTTTTACTTGTTTTAGCTTCCTCAATTTTTGTTTTTTCTCTGTATTTTTCGCTGCTTTTGGCCCTGTTTGTCGCGCGAGATTTCTCGCGGAGTTTCTCTCTCAGTTGACTATTATCTGCCGATTACACCACCGATGCACTGTTCCATCTTAACCCTGTGATCCATGGCGAAGGAGATCTCCCGCTTGTCATCCTGTATGTTGCGCGAACAGGCGGAGAAAAGTATGATTCAATCCATCTGGAAGCGAACTCATGGAGAGGTTGCCTGCAACTGTGACCGATTCTGCTTAAAGGAATCCTCCACGGAAAAAGCTCCGCCCTCATTACCATAGAAAACGATACCTCAAAGAAATCTTCCACTGAAAGAGTGATCATTTTGTCTTCTGTGTAGAATTAGTACTATCTAAACTAACACTTATGTTCCGTTCTTTTTGCTATGCTCATGAGGCTAGGGGCCTAAAGGGTATCGTTTTTCTACGGTAATGGAGACGGAGCTTTTTCGCGGAAGACCCCTTTAATAGAGTCCACCGAAGTATGATATTCTCTGACCGAATCGGCTTCTGATTTTGAAAGAGCTTCTTATTCTTTGTAGCAGGACAGCTTATATAAATACATTTCGATTGACTACCTTGTAAAATTCGCATTTTTAATGATCACTGTGCCCGGTGTACCTATTGTTTATCGTTCTGAAATTTTTCCAAAAAAACATATGACAAGTTTGTGCCATTCAGATGAATATTCCTTGCCTAGTTAGGGCATGTGTGATCGGAACTGTTAGGAGGAAGAGAGGTCACAAACAGGATTTCTTTCCATTCCATAAGGGAGATGAGCGAATTTTCCTAAAGTGCAGCATGAGCCGCGCGTGCGGAGATGCATACTTTGCTGAACGCGGCAACCCCTTCACTGTTTGAAGGCTCGTTAGAAAAATGCGACATGTGAGTCATTGTGGTGACGAACTTGTCTAGCAGAGTTCCAATAGGAAGAGGCTTATGGCTCACAAGAACATGCAAATCGGATGGATCGGACTTTTCTCTGCTCCTCCACGCAATGTGGGAGATATGCTTGCTTCAACAGAACACGCTCATGTCTAGGGAGATGTGAATTGGCATATCAGCGTTCGGCTTCAACCGTGGCTCGCAGCTCATCCAAATCTGCAATTTCACGAAAGGTTTAAGTTGTAAGATGAGCTGAAAATACTATTTCAGGTTTCACTGCTACACTTGGTCGCCACGGCGTGTGGAATATGTTCTACTTTGGCTTATACCACAATCTGAAAATTATCATTCCGGACGCTAAGGTATCTAGTTTTCTTACTTCCTATTACTTACCGAGAAACTCACTTTTTCATGAAACTTTGGATGGAGGCCTAAGTAAATTGGTAGAGTGAAGAATGCTTGTCGCAATTATTGAGACTAAAATTGCTACGTAAATTTTCAAGCAAGTTCTGAGCGGTCCAAATTGACAAGAAAATCAAAAAGAACTAAGTTGTGGAGCCAGACTGGCGCAGAATGGCCCTTTTTCAAAATGAATGTCTATCAGTGATCAGGTCACCTATTTACCCCAAAAAGCAAAGTTTTGGAGAAATTACTCGCGCTCACACTGCATTTCCTGTAAACTTCACCCGTTCACAACGCTTGAAAACACTCCGTGACACTTTTGCTCTCCATATTTGTCACCAGCATGCCTGACTGTATCGATTTACCCAGGTCTCCATTTTTTCTCAGTTTCCATAATTTTTGATCAAAATCCTTTTGCTGTTAGGAGTATGATACCGACATCGAGTTGTGAAATCGGTTTCTCAGGCACTATTTCGCTCCGCTAGCGAAAAACTCAAAAAATTAGCTCAGATCTTTCTTTCCCTGAGTCGCTAATCCTTGAGTTCAAGGAGTCGAACCTACTAAAAGTCCCGACATGTCAACATTTAAGGGAAATGAGAAACATTATGCATGAAAAACTGACTTTCGGCGTATTGTTTTGACCAACTGTATATGATGATTGGTTTTTGCTATCTATTTGTTAGTTGGTGGCTATTCACCGACATTGCCGAAATAGCCTAGCAGCTTTGTCCACGTTCAAACAGCCTTAGTTTCCCTCCTCTTCAAACTTTCAAAGATTTTCCCTGCAAGGCTTGTATCACTTGCCTAATTCTTCAATGCTGTCCTCACCAAGACTTTTCTTGTCGGAGCCACATCACAAACCTTGCTGGCCGTTATGGTACTAGGTTTTGCTGCTGGTTCTCTAGTCTATAATAGTGAACCATTCATTTGCTAGTGAGCACAAATCGCGAGATTCAAGGTAAGGACACTCTGTTTTTTTTGGTCTGCGTTGATTTTGACGGAGATGGGATTTCCTTTACTTATCGAAGTGCCCTCCCAGTCAGGGCTCGTCGCTATCGTTGTTAGCATTTTTACGACCCCTACAACGTGGAATTTACGGACCCCCTTTTATCTACCTTCCACCATCTCTCATTTCCCATCAAAATACCCGCCCACTTTTTTCCTCGCAAAAAATGCCGTCGAGCGGGGGGGGGATATCATATAATTTTTGTCCTGCGGCGCGCTTCTCACTCGACCAAGGAAAGCCTACTACCTACACGAAATCATTAGTTTACCTCAATCGCAACGTGTTTTGAAGCGACTAAAGTGGGTACGACTCAACCAGCGTACGACCCCCCCCGTTGATACTCGTAACAACGTAGTTTAACCCTGGACGAAAGAGACAGACTGGTGATTAAAGTTTGTGTTATCCTGAACCTGCAGTCAAGTTTTTTAATGCATGAAACCACCGCGGCAAGCGACTTGCAAAAGCTTTGCGGCGTCACGCTGCTGGAATATACGGCCACATACTGTCAGTACTGCGCAATGGCCTCCTACTTGTGTTGTGACTGGGTACTTATTGTTTTGCTTTCAGGTCCTCAACCAGATCTTTTCTACCAGAAGTTATAGGGGAACACCATGCAAAATTAGCTAGTCTAATAAAAGAAGACGGGAAGAAATTGCTCATTGAAGTCTAAACAGTCAATTTCACTCCAAGCTAAAGTTGGTCGACAAACACTATTTCATTTTAGTCTCGGAGCGCTTTACAAGGGCCCTTCTGCCGAAAGTGATGCGTCTTGGACCAGGTACTCTTGTTTCTATATTTTTTTTGAAGGACGTTCTAAACATTGTTTTTTGCTCTATTTGGGATGTATTGCTCTCAGGTAGAGAGGTAGTGATTTCGTCGAACAACGAAAAATTAAATTCCGAAAAAAAAATGAAATAAATAAGGGATATCGTAGACTGATGGGGAGATGATACTGTATGAGTATCCCTCCTATCACTCCATAGGAACAATCGAAAATTTTGCTAATTTGGAATTCCTCTCTCAATTTTCTTGAATTTATAAACTTCGTTTCAGGCGGGCTATTACGTTGATCGTCTACGAATACGTGTACGACTGGCTGAATGATCCATACGCTAATGTACATAATTGTGTTTTGTATTCCGAGTATACTGTACCTTCAACGATTCACTTCACGAGAATAAAAGATTTCACTCCAATAAACCTTTTGCATATTTTTTATTCACTTGATGATTGGGGTTCTTATGGTTTAGTCTGTAAACGAAGATGGCTGTGTGAAATTTTTAATCGGTCGAAATGGCAGCTAGCTTGTTGTTAGTTGTGGATAGACAAAAGGTTCATTGTGATTTCGATGATATATAGACTGTTTCGATGACCCGATTCATGTGTGGAGCAGGATCAACTCTAAGGGAGACTATGCTGGACACAAAGGGAGAAGGGAGAGAAAAGCTCACGCGGCGGAGCGAACGCGAGCGCGTCTGGTGACGTCACAGCTGCTGCAGGAGCAGCTCGAAGGACGAGCAGCGTCGCTGACACTTTGCTCGAAACAGTAACGAGGATTGGCGGGAACTTCTCCAAATGCGTTCATTCAATAGTTTGGGGAGTGAAATAATCACTATAGATTGCCATACTCATGCTAGGAAACAGTAATCTTTAAAAATAGAATTTTTGGATGTGTCAATTGTAGTACATAATCTGTAATGGGATGTTCTATTTCTGTGAGCTCGTTGCTCAATTTCCACTTGCATCACTATTTACTACACAGTGAAGTTAGTGTACAATATAATGCTCACAGTAACATAATGGGTTGAAGTACTACAGGCGCCAACGCTGCGTTCTTGCTCGGTCCCTTTGCCGCAGCTCTAATGGCAAAATGACGTCACCAACACGCGAACGCGGCCCCGCCGCCGGAGAACCTTTCTATGGAGGCCAGGAGAGAATGGTCCGGTGGTGGGGGTTGTCCCGCTTGTCTTCAGGTCCACCCTACTTCATAGCGTCTCTACTCCAGGACCTTGTAACTCTGCTACGATTCTTATCTGTAGTTGTTTCGCGTAGTTTAACCTGATTCTTTTAGCTGGGCTTGAAAGCTGGTCGTCAGACTGGGGATAGTAATAACTTGAAAAAGTATTTAACTATGATTTCATTATTTCATTTCCAGTTTAATAAGCAGGACGGTCCTCTAACGCTAATTACAGTGCCAATCCATTTATGATGTTCAACCTGGAATTCTTGTAGTTGATCTGACTCTCGATCAGTGCTCATAACAATGATGTTCCAGTTTGACAGCGCTCTGTGGGCAGCGAGTAATGCAAGGTTCAATGAGATAGCTGACATCCTTCTCTGGGATATTTTTTTTGGTCAAAGCGGCATCCACGCAGTTGTACATGAAGAATATTATTGATTAGGTGCTGGCTAGGCCTTAAGTCACGCGTAGCCTCCCATTTCGGCAGACGAAGAAGAGTGTCGAGCGCAGAGCACACAACCACAAGTTACGACGGCCAAAGAGGAAATAAAAGAGAAGCAATTTCTTTGGCGCCGTGTTTTGTGGGTGGTGATCCTGTCACTCTAACGCTCTCTCTTTTCCGGAAATAGAGGTATCCTGTGGATGACTGTTTCGCCGCAACCACGTGAACCTAAAAATTGGGCACTCATCTATATTTTCGAAATTTTTTCCGCTTTCCCACTTCACCGAATGTAATGACTTTGTGAGGAACTTTCCCTTATGGACTTGGCAAGTGAAAACAGCACTTCTCACGTCGTAACCCCAGCCCGTGGGAATATCAAGCTTTAAAGACAATTTGGGTAACTAAATCACCGACATGTTGAAGTTTCTTGCTTCCCCTCCTTTGTTCTCGTTTGTATCGCACACCCCGCGAACTCGCCCTTAATTCAGCTAGTTGTGGCGCTCGTCACCTGTCAGCTGAATTGTTTTGCTATTATCTGCACTTGTTAGTTTCAATAAAGACGTTTGATGGTTTTAGAATCAAACTGAACTCCTTTCTCGAAAACTCTTCTAATACTCATAGCACTGATTTCATTTGCTGTCAATTTTAATAGGTTGAAGGTTATAGCAAAGGGCGCACTAAAAAAATTGAGATGACTTCAAAAACCAGGCTTGTATTAGCGGTGCGAATTTATTCGCTATCACAAAAAGGTCACTTGTTTCAAAGATGTTTGTGTTTTTTGTACTGCATGCATGAGAACATAAAAACATGGTTCGTTTCCGGCCAACGCGCTCCCCTAAACGCACGAAAAGATCTCGTATTAATCGTAAGCACAATTCCCAAACAAAAGGTTTTGTATTAAGCGTTTTTTGCAAAGTACGCACATTGAAGATTCATGAAATAGAACATCGATAAGCAATTCAAGTCTGGTCACAAAAAGCGCTGTCCGGTCCAAGTATCACTAAAGGACCTGTGGAGTTCATCGGGCCTTAATACGGTTTAAGGCAGGTGCTAGCAGGCTTCGTAGTGTAGTGGTAGCGGTAGCGGACTTTCACTGATAGATAGAGGAAGGTTTTGTGATCGGCTCGGCCCCGACGCAGCTTCATTATATTTTTTACTTGCGTGTCAGGACAAGTCCCAATTGCACCTAGCTCCACAATAGATTTCGCTCTTCCATAATCGAGGTAATTCGAGAGCCATACGCTGTGAAGCAGTTTTTTCATCCGAAACTGGTTTAGAAGTAGGCAAAATAATTCGACATAATTGAGACCGAGTCGCCAAAATTTTATAATGAGAACACGTAGTATCATCGCCTTTAACATCGACCCTCCAGACTTATGCCGATGGCGAAGAATTTGGCTCCTCTGCTCTCCGAAAGTAATAAATCCTTCTAGAGTGGACGAATTTACATCACCTTATGATCGGCAAATTTGACCCAGGTTCTATTTGCAGGATCTCTCCAGCCATGGAGTGGTGTCTTTGTAGTGTCCTCATCTTTTCCAACCTCCTTTCCTTGCTGAAAGCTGATCGGTTCGAGGGCGACCCCTGAATGATAATCTTGAATTCAGTCGCTTTAACTTTCAATAAGAAATTGTTGTATTAAGGCAAGAATTATGAACAGCACTTTAATTTTGCAAATTTTCATGCATATATCTGTTATGATAAACGGAACTTACTTATACATCACATGTTAAGGGAGATCCTCTTCAAATCCACTATGCTAGTCTCGCGCTTGCAGGGTGCACTGATTCTTATCAAAGCATGGGAAATTTGCAGGTGCTTAATCGACGAGGTTAAGTAAGAAAGGACACAAATATGACTCCGGCAGTATTTTCTTTCTTACACAGCCATAATTTCTTTTTTTTGTCACAAAATTAAAAAAATCAAGTAGTAGCCAACTGCAGTTCTCATCAACAGTAGCTAAAAAAACAGTTGTCTTTCGGACCGCCATTTCCCAGTGGTATATCATAGTTCTGGATCGGGCCCTATACTGGTACAGCATTAGAATCATAGTAAAATTATCAGCAAATGTATAGAAACTTGGGAGGAAGAGGTGTCAGTGCAAAAGGCACGCTTACCGCGCGTGCGGCCGGGATTGAATCCTGGGTCGTGCGTCGCCTCCAACCAAACAATCCCATCACCTCTGGTCGATTAACTTGGTACCCAGACTGGCCTGGAGGATAAATAACACTGACCTGTACATCAACTGCCCCCGCAAGTCACTGTATAGGCCCATATCGCATTCACCCACGCCACTCACCGAATGTACGAATACAGAGAATGCGTTTGCCTCATCTCAAAAAGATGATCAACCTGCAAAATGCTTTCCTCTTCTCTATTCTTTTTACAAATACAAACCGATAACTGCCACCTGCACACAGTAAGACCAGTCAGGCACATGGCTAGCACGCAGTAGGCAATGTGTTTAAGCAAGCTCCAGGATCAAATTTAATTGATAATTCTACTCTAAACCAATATGACGTGGGGATGCCGGTTGGTCCCTCAAGTGGAGAGAGAAATGGAATAAAGATAAAGGATAAAGCATTTGCCGTTGCTTCAATACCTTTTTTGATGCGGCAACGAAATTCCTACTTCTCCACTTTGTATACATTCCAGTATCGTTTGAATGCGATGTGGCCAAATACAACGACTTACGGGGGCCAGCCGCTTTCTCAAGTCGTATTTTCATCCTCCCAGACCAATCTGGTACCATTTAAACCGACCCCGGAGGGAGGAAAGCGCTTGTTGCCTGCACGAACCAGGATTCGATTCCCCGGACCGCCGCGGTGGTGAGCGGCCACTTCCACCTCCACCACTTCCGCCCGGAAATAGCCAGAGAATTTCAAAAGGCAGACCGGAATAAGCACATATATAATATTTATATAATGTGAGTTCGCGAGGTGGAAAAGACTCCAAGTCGAGACAGCATGGCACATCTACACTTCAGACAAGAAGCTAAATTGAGCCCGAAGTCTCCTTCCTCGCCGCCCAGCGATTCTGGAAATTGACATTAAGTGATTCTTTGGGTGCTTTTCGCAGAACCGCTTTCCATAACCTAAGTCGCACACTATGAACGTGCGCAGGACCGGAGAATGAGCGAGCGAAGAGGGTATGTCGATCAGCCATCAACTACAAAGTTTTGCCGCCCTCCTTTTAATGGTCGGCTGATTTATACATTTCTTAAAGAATACCCGAGAAAAGCTTTCACTAAAAATTAATAGGAAATAAAATAAAACATGTTCATTCTAGGTAACTTTCTCACTTTAAAATACCAAATGATAACCTAGAAGCTACCGATATTTCAAATTTTTTCTTTTGTGCAGTATTCTGTATGCTGGAGAGCTAATAACCTGCAACAAGATGTACGATACAGTGCAGTTACAATAGGCCCATACTGGAGAATATTAATAAGTTTTTCGTCTTGCCTTTGTTTGCGGTTATTATTTCCTTACTAGTTTACACGCAACATACGGATAATAGAGCAATTTGTTTTAAAAAAATATTTTAGGCAGGTCTTCGATTCAGCGAAAATCACGGCGATAGCAATCGCTCAATCACATCGTCTCTCAGTCGCCCATTGTAAGAAATGCCTCCCGTCAGCGATTTCTCCTAATTTTCTGTTTCATTTCGGTAAACCTATTCAGTGATACCTTGGACACTCCTTTTTTCGATTATTAACAACACATAACATATGAATATCTCTACTGTTTTTACAAATTCTACAATACTATTTGGCAAGTGCAAAACTAGGTAAGAATCAGGGAAAGTGAGATGAATATTAAATGGAAACAATAACGAGATCTCGGAACTACATTCATAAAATTCCGCAGGTAAGCATGGTTGCATTTTTGCGAAAAGGTTTT